GGTAATTTTATACGTTTAAAAAAATTAATACAATTATGGCAATAAAAAAAAAATTTAACAAAACACTCCCAATACCACTTAAGCAATTTAAATTCTACAATATAAAAATATATAAACTTAATTTATAATAAAATAATATATCAATCAAACGTACCGGTATTAAAGATATTGTAATAATCAATTAAAACGTACCTAACAAATGTTTCTATACAAAAGCAAACGCACCCTTATATAGTTATCTCTATAGATCAAATAAATTTATATAACCTTGATGGTATACCATTAAACGTACGTCGTATCATATTTCCTATGCACTACAAATAAACACAATTTTCATATCTTATTATTAATAACCCTCAAGGATGAACTTCAAAAATCAATCATTAGGAGAAATTCACACAATCAATTATTATATAATGGGATCCCTTTTAGAAAGGAAAAACAAGAGAGAGAGAGAGAGAGGAGAATCAAAATGACTCGATTGTTTTGGTAGCTTTATCAACTACAATTATTTTAGATAACGATGCCAAAGATTGATATTTGAAATTAATTATTGAAAGTGATATTTTACTACAGTGGTGAAAATATGTTAATCAATTGCATGACGACGTAGATTTAAATTTCGTCGGTGATTAATCTAACAAAATCTATTAGTAAGGAACTTAAAAATTAAATCTCAAATTTATGAGAACAAGGAAAGAGGCATTTTACGAATACACAAAAACCTTATTTTATTTATAAACTATGTAATACGTTGACATAGAAATTAAAATGATGATGTGGATGAAGCTCAAACGGGCTTTAGTTGGAGATGACCAAATTAGGCTGGGAGATGTATGTGGCTTGAGGGACTGCTGCGCCGTGGACAATTGGGGAACAGTCTTTTGACTCAATTCCATGTTCTTTTCTACAAGAAGGACAAGAAAGGCCGCGTTGGTTTAGGTTTTTTTTTTTTTTTAATTGTCAAATCTAAGTTTTATTGATAGACGAAAATGTAAAAGAGATAAATTTAAGGATAAATCTCAGTTTACTACCTTAAGTTTTGTGATTTTCAACATTTAGTATATGAAGTTTTTTTTATCCCAGAATCATACCTAAAATGTTAATTTTGGGACAGTCTCATACATCAGTTAGTCTGGCTACTAAGTCTCCCGTTAACTGATGACGTGGTATCCACGTAGATAATGATCGGACGTCACGTGTCATTAAAAATTTTAAAATATTAAAATAATTAATTAAAAAAGAAAAAAAAGAACCCACTTCTTCCCCGACACCCTCACCCCCTCCACCCCATTCGTCTTCTCCACCGGAGCACCAGACGAATGTTGGAGAAGAAGATTCCATATATTCAGTTGCACATTGAACAAAAAGAGGATCTGAGAATCAGATAATCAAGAAGCGGGACACCAAAGTTGGAGATCGGTCAAGCTTCGTCGGCGAGGCAACTGGAAGATGATATGAGAATCAAGAAGCGGTAAGCAGAGGAGCAGAGCCGCCTTAGCCTCAGAAACTGTGTACACTTTAGAGGAAGAGGATGACGACGGACTCGATGGCAGTGGGGTTGGAGATGGGGGATAGGAGAAGGGGTGGCTTGGGTGGGTGATAGGGGATGGGAGAATGGGATGCTCGGGTGGAGAAGACGAAGGGGGTGGAGGGTTGGGAAGAAGAAGTGGGTTATGGGTTTTTTTTTTTTACTTTAGAGCTCCAGACCGTTTCAGTCTCTCTCCCTCTCTCTACTCTGCATTGTGTGTGAGCAAATCGTTTTTCAAATTCTCCCTTTCTTCGATTTGATAGTCAAATGTGCTCTGTTGCGATCTTCGTCGACTTTCTATCTCAGTGGAATCTCTGCTCTTCGCTCTTCCAAGCTCAGTTCGGTAAGTGATTTAAGGTTTTCCTTTGACTAGAGTTGAATGTTCTGTTTTGTATTGATCCCAATATTTTTTTTATTGAATCCAGTGATTGAAACTTTTCTGTCTCAGATTTGAAGTTCTCTGCGAGTTGGGATTGATTGAATTTTGAATCTTTTTTATAATTTGTTAGTGTGTGAAGGATTATGTTGGGTTTTGATAGAAATTTTCATTGATTTTTAGTTAATTTGATTTAGATACAATCAATTTACAAATTTACTTGACCCCATTATTCAATTTTAAATCGAGGACTAGTTGAAGTTTTGTGTTTTTGTGTGCCAACTTTTGATTTTATCTTCAAATTACTAAGCTCGGGCGGAGAAGACGAAGGGGGTGGAAGGGATGGCAAGTGTCGGATAGGGAAGAAGAAGTGGGTTCTAGGATTTTATTTTATTTTAAAAAAAAAAAAAACTTGTTTTGAATTAATTTTTTGAATTTTTTTTAATGACACGTGGCGCCCAGTCATTGTCCACATGGGCGCCACATCATCAGTTAACGGAAGACTTAACAGCTAGACTAAGGCCCTGTTTGGCACACCGTATAAGGCACCGGATAGTACTAATAATACGGTGTACGGTGTTTGGTGCCGTTTGGATTAAATAGGCACCGGATTAAATAATCCGGGCCCACCTTTTTTACCCGGTGTTTACCTGCTTGTTATACCGTCCAAATTCACCGTATAACTTAGTCGGCCTCGTCTCTTCCTTTCCGCTCGCGAACTCGAGCCACTCTTTCTCACCTTTCCTTGGCGTCGTCGTCCTCCCTGTCACCTCCTCTCGCCATCGCCATCCCCATCACCTTCTGCCATCGCCATCGTCCTCCCCATCACCTTCTCTCGCCATCGTCGTCCCGTCGCCTTCTGTCATCGCCTGCAACTTCCGTCACCTGCAACTGCCATCGCTTGCAATTGCCGTCGCCTTCTGTCATCGTCTTCCCTGTCACCTGCAACTGCCTTCGGGGAAGAAGAAGAAGAGAGAGAAAGGGAAGGAGTTTGGGGGTGCGGCAGAGAGATCTGGGTTTCATTATTTGGGATTCTTCGTAGTCGGGGAAGAAGAAGGGAGAGAGATGGAGGGAGTTTGGGGGGCGCGAAGAGATCTGGGAACCAGATTTTCAGTTGTTTTTTTTTTTTTTTTTTTTTTTTAAGTTTAATTTTATTTTAAGTTTTCCTCCTATCCGATATAATACCAAACACTGTATAAATAATACGATTATTAATCCGATACTGCATCAAACGTCCGACTAATTTAGTCAGTACTGTCCGGTGACTATTTATCCTATCCGACAGAAATAGTCAGTACAATACGAGCTGACAAACGAGGCCTAATGGATGTATGAGACTGTTCTAAAATTAACATTTTAGGTATGACTCTAGGACGAAAAAAATTTCATGTACTAAATATTGAAAACCACGAAACTTGAGGATAGTAAACTAAAATTTACCCTAAATTAAATAAAAGCGGCTAGTAGGCCGAGTTGATAAAGAAGTCTAAGCAAAGTACTTGATAGCTCAATTGGACACAAGTCATAATCGCCACAACCATTATGTACATCATCAATTTGCCGTTTGTATTAGCCGATATACGGTCAACACCAACAAAAGACAAGAGTCATAAAACAAAGCCACATATGCGAAAAAGTCCCAAAAGAAGAACAAATATAATCCGAATTTCACAACAACAAAGATGCACAAGAAAACACAAATTTGGCTCTAAAAAACTCAACAAAAGAAATAAGCAACCAAAACCAGTAACCATATACACCACCCGACGACCAACAAGAGAAAACTTCTTATACCAACAAAGCAAGAAGACAAAACACCATCAAAATCGTAAAAGAAGGCGGTGTAGAGACCCAAACCAGTTGTAAAGCGATTTTGCACATCTTCATCTGAGTGAGCGACAACTTGCTTTCCAGATGGGTACCAAATAAAGTAACGCAACAAATAATTATTTGAGAGAGTTTTAGCATCTGATTGACTAGAAAACACTTTTGTTTATAAAAATAGTTTTTGACATGTACGCTTCTAGAAAATTCCTTAAAGAGTCTTAAGTATTTCAAAAATTTTGTGTCAAATGTAGTTGAAAACACTTTTAGTTGTCAATAAGTGTTTTTAACTCTTCAAGAAGCAATTTTAATCATTCTCTTATTTACTCAGTTTCAAGTATCCCCATTCTTAATAGGAGAGGAACTTACAAGTGAAAGTTGGATATGAAAATTTCAATTAGACTTAAAATTCCTAATTACAATTTGATTCGTCTTGAAGTTATACATATACTTAGTAAGTACAAGTTATATACTTGAATCCAAATATATCTATGCACAACCACATAAATAGCGAACTATACTCGTTTGGAAGTACTTTTAAAATGACTGAAAACTTTTTTGAAACCAAGAAACCAGTCTTTAGTAAAAATCCAAGTAAATCTTGAAAAAACACTTTAAATGAGGCCTATAAGAAACGCGCGCACACACACACACACACATATATATATTGCTTCTTCCATAATGCACTCAGAGTGCTTTTGGAACCCAAAATAAATTCCACCAAAAACGCTTTCAATCATTTTAATAGCACTTTCAAACGTGCCCTACTTCATTGGAATTTCCTTCTTTTAGAGAACGTAAAAGTATTATTTATTCAAGTGGAAGACCAGTAGACAACAAAGACGCTTTGGCCGAGTGGTTAAGGCGTGTGCCTGCTAAGTACATGGGGTTTCCCCGCGAGAGTTCGAATCTCTCAGGCGTCGTTCCTTTTTCAACTTTTATTTATTAATACTTTCAGAAGATCTGGGCTCTGTTGTATATGGGCCCCAGAATAGTTAAAGCTATATGAACGTTATTGCGCGCAAAAGAAAAAAAGGCTCAACCATTACCTTCCTTTTTCTTTTTTCTTATCACAAACTAATTTTTAAACCACTTTAATCAAAACTACGAGACCATGTATTCAAACTTGAGTGTAAAGAGACGAGCGCACAGCTCTGCAGTCTGAACCACTGCCTAAATTATATCGGACAAAAGACCTTTTTCAAGAAAGAAGAGTTATCAAAATTGATTTCAGTACATTTATCATACTGCTACATAATACCAATTTTATACATACTATAACAAATATTTTAATAAGTAATATCAACGCTTATTAATGTCAACATCACACTCAGAATATTTCCCACACAAACAAATTTATTTTTATTTTACATTATTATACGTGTCACCTTTCTGGAAGGATTAATTAAATTTTGAGCACACTTTCCTAATCTCACCTTGTGTACCAATTTTCACCTCAATGCTACCCATTTTAATCATAGCTTTTGGGAATTCAAAATCAAATCTAAACCCTAGCAATCCCCTAATGTTGCCAGCATAGTTTTGCATTATCTTACGCGTTGCGTCATCACCCCAAAGCCTCTGATCCGACTCCAAAACTGCATTTCCATCCTTCACATTCTTGAAGAAGCTCACATCAAACTTGGTCTGGCTTCCTCTGTCCAATGCCACCGGCTTCGTTCCGTCACCGTTCATCGGGCACAGAGCTTGGAGTTGTGCTAGGAATGCTTGATTTATGGTCGGGTCGGAGTTGCCTGTGGCTGTGAAATTGTAGAGCCGGTATCGGATAAACTGGCAGTGCGTTTCGCCAATGGTATGTCCCCCTGCACGCAATTCCCCATTAATATACGAGCTTTGAAACTATCAGTTTTTTTTTTTTTTTGGACGTCCGTTCTTTATTATGGTACATGACTGTTGTTGACATGGTGATTTCATTATCAATAACATAGTAATAACAAAACGTATCAGATAGAGTTTGATTACCAACTAGGGTTACGAGATCATGATCGTCGAGGCCTTTAGCAGCAAATTTTTGCCTTTGCACGGCAACTGAATCAAGAGGAGAAGGTAGGTTTGAGGCTTGAGATGACAAAGAGACCCTGCCATCCCTTCTTCCGGTAGGCACTGACCAACTTGGACCGTCGCTCTGAAATGAATAGACCAAGAAAAAAATAATTAGAAACCGCTAAACATCAGGAGGTGAAAAAGCCTGTATATACTGTTAAGCAAATGTTTAGGATGCGCGTAATGAGAGGCTAGTCAATTACTAAGTCAACAGAATCTCGAGCAGCCAATGCAAGAATATCGGCACACGAGACAACTCCAGGACACAAGGCCTCTACTTGAGCTTTTGCATCATCAATCACTTCGAATCCTTTCAACCCTTGATTCGGCAAGGCATTCCCCTCCGATGAAGCGCCCTTGATCAAAACCGAACCGTCACAACCCTGCAGATCATGAACACAAAATGACTCATGTTACCAAAATTAACGAAGATGCATATATGGGTTAGGTCAGTCGGCTAGAGCAATATGCTAACATAAAAAAAATGAGAGCAAAAACCTGAACGAAGCAGTCGTGGAAGTGAAGCCTGAGCAAGCCTGCAGCAATGGTGGGATCTTTGTTGTAGTATGATTCAACTGTGGATCTCACCGTGGCCTCTGCTTTTGGACATGAGGAAGAGTAGAATCCAGCTTTCAGTTGACCTTTTGCAGGCAAAACCATTACCAGAATGATAAGCAAAACAGACACCACGGCTTTCATATCTGCTATGCACAAGAAAACGCAAACCCAATTGGGTTTTAGAAATTTAAATCTATATTTCTAGTTCACTCTTTCACTACCAAAACATGTACCACTACTCTTGTTTATAAGTGGATTTGCTTGCCTTGTTTCATTGGATTTGCTTTAAACATCTTTTATTAGTGGAACGTGTGGGGCCCCATATATATTTAAACTTTAGGGGGAAGTAGGATACTTCTTGTATTTTGGTCCTACTCGACCTACACTAGACTTACTATGAGAGAAACTTGAGTATGACAGTCTGACTAGCTGGATGGTCACACTCACAAAATAACAAGCTTCGCAATATTTATATACCATCCAACTCCACGTAAGTACATCATTCAATTCACACGGTTCACCCGCTGTGAGGAGGGCTCAACCAGCTATTGATCAGGCTGCCATACATAAATATTCTCCTCGGTAATGAAATAGTGAGATTTGGATTGTATTTCCCTATACATATGCATCATGCAGGTTGTATTCAAATGTGAAATGGATATAATGGGGTAGGCGCTTTGATTCTCAACCTTTATTCGTCCACGCGTTTTTCCCCTCTTTTGATGAAGTTGTTTCTTCGAGTCCCTTTTCTCTTTTCATCAACTTGGAGTTCCCATTTACTATTTTTGGATAGAAAGTTTGATGAATAATGCTAATATGGCGGCAGATTAGTTGGCGTCTTTCAAATCTCCGGAGATGAGAGATCAGTTTTGGGTTGATAGACTCCCATCTTTGCTGGTGTATATTCTAAATAAGGATGGTCTGCCTTGCTCTCCTTCGAGCTAAGATTTTAAGTGGTGTAGGTGGGGAGACGCCTTGCACCAGGTGCATCATCCTTCTCCCTGTATCAACCTTACGCTACTTTTGTTTGTAAGAACTCAGTATGGTTCTCCTTTGTTAGTTCGTCTGTGGGCTTTCGTTTATACTCTTTGGCTTCGCCCCGGTAATGCAATTCCAATTGTCCAAAAAAAAAAAAAAAACTAGAAAGAATTTAAAAGAGTTGTTATTAACACTCTAAATAAGACATCATGCATTTCTTTTTTATATAAACAAAATCAATACACGATAACCTTTTTAGATACTAATAACAATTTTCTAAAAAGAGTCGATAATGAACTAATCGCTACGTGATCTGAAATAAAAACAATAAGTCGATAATAGGCAAGTACTAAGAAACATGCAAATGAATCTTGAGATTTGAATGAGAAACATTTTTCGTTTGACAATCGCACCATTTAGTCATCCATACGTACGATATAAACGAATGACAAAATTGATATGTCAACAGATAGATACTAAAACCAAATATCTAAAGATTTTGTAGGTTGGGGAACATTATACTTATATTAAGCCAAATAGTTTATTTTACAGAACTTAATTATACTACTGAACAGTCTGAACTAAGTCCAGCTAACATTTTGCACTTTACATCTGTGTTAGTATATAAAAAGCATGCATAGCAGATGCATTTGAAATTTTAAAAATTAATTAACAGAAACAAAAATAAAAAGGGCAACATACTAGTCCCCCAAATTTAATTTCCATAACCTGTCAATCTAGCTACTTAGCAACTTGTTCCAGAACAGGGGCTTTTTTCCATGCGTCTTCCAATCCGCTGGTTTGCAGCGGCGGCAACGAGAAGGCGCTAACCGTTGAGCTTCCGCTCCGAATTTCCTTCAACGCGCGCAATGCCGATATTGTACTTTTCATGTACAAGCTCTCCATATACTCTATCTCTGAAAGTTCTCTGGATACTCTGCTAATGCCATCACTCTTGGTAGGGGCAGAAGTTGAAGGATTGCGGCCGTCATCTCCATAAGATCCTTCAGTTGATATGGGATGTTCGTTCATGGAAAAGAGCTGGTCAAGCGTTATCTCACACTCCTTCACGAGCTTGTAGAGCAAGTCGGTGGTGAAGAAAGGCTGTTGCAAGACCTTCTGGATAAAGGGCAAGCGCATAAGAGCACCTGTTCGTTTATCGTACTTCTTCAGTATCTTTACCAATCCTGTTAATTAAGATTGAGCTCGTTAAACCAAGAAATATTTCTATCGAATGCAGGTCAGAACCTCCAAAATAAATTTAGAGGAACATCTACATCGATTCTAACAAGGCATCAAACCCTACAGCAGTCTCTTCGCTTGGAAAAATATAGAATTCCATTCGGAAATTAAACGCATGAAGAATCAAGGCAGCAGTCCCGTAAAGTTACATATAACTAGTATTCATCCGCGTATAATATTTTTCTTTTGATGAAAGTCTGTTCAACAAGAAGTATTTGAGAACTTTAAAATACATTCCTAGATTAGCTGTTCGTCATGTAACTTGTCAAATTTAAGATACCTAAACACTCATCATTAGTACCCAAACGAAAATCTTTACTTTCTTACAAACGTCATTGAGAACTCAAAGATTTAATGCTAAACAATGAGGATCTCATATAATAATTAACAATCAATGTTAACCAAGCATATAGATAATCTTTCGATGGATGTTTTACTAATCTTGACAAAACATTTCAAGTTCGATATGGCTTATGATAATAGTAAATTCCTCGATTTTGAATAGTTTGTTAAAGGGTTCTCATGTCAATAAATTAAGCATACGCAACGACAACGAGCGGCGTATACTTTTAATCAGTTTAAGATTGCGGAATCTAAAGCAAACAAGTACAAGATCAAAAGCTCAGCAATACAATACCTGTATAGTTGAGGGCGCTGTAATTCTCCAACAAAACCATCTCTCCATGGAAGTCCACAATCTCCTTGCGGATCTTAATAATCTCGTCGCTGTAAGGCTTTGCTTTCGCTACTCTGTCTTGTATCTCCTGCATTCACACACAACACATTCATCTCCTGATCGAAAAATAAGAAAATTTGCAATTTCAACATTGCATTGTAGTAACTAACTAACGACCCGCGACACAAGGACTTTCATGCCACGAGAGAAATCAAATGTTCTGCACCTAAAATGGGTGCATTGACACGTATTTATAAACTTAACTTTTCTTAACTTTATTGTAGTCAAAACTTGACTAGGCCACAAAGAGGTGGATGATTTGATCTCACCACGAGATGCGTTTATTGCGAATCCCAAGCTAATTATGCTTTGACATGTGAAAACGTTTAGATGCGTGAAAATGCGTAGTTTGCTTGGGATACTGTCACAGTAACGTTCCCATCACCGTTAAGTTGCCCACCAAGAAAAATGACGCAAGTTAGCACTAATTTCATTTCCGGCACCAGACGGTGTTTCTTAACGGAGATACCGCAGCCTAGCACCTCAGCCATACAAAGTGAGGTGCGAACCCGTTGAAGGTGACAGATGGCAGCCTCTCACACGCATGATTATATTTGCGGTTCACAAGTGTAACGGCAAGGCGCCATAAAGTATAACGGCTAACGGCCATTCGAAAATGAACGAGGAATAAAGATTCCGTGTGCGCAATGCACACAACGAGTAAAAGGTGTCGTTTTGGAAAATTAGAGTCGAAATTAAGAAAATAAACTAGCAAATTAAAGTGTTGAACTCCAAATTTAGAGATAAATCCAGCAAATTACATTTCAAAATTTAGAAAATCAGCGATAAATATAGAATCATGTTACTTAATTAGCCTAAGACTCTGTTTGGTTCCGGAGAAATGAAAGCTGAAAATTTTCTCAGGAACCAAACAACTGGAGAAAAAATTTAAATTAGAAGACAATACCTTCAATCTAATAATGTACTCTTCCTCCTTCTCGACGAAGAAGGAGTTAAATTTCTCGAGCTCGTCCTCCAACAACTGAATGAAATTGATCTCCGCCGCGGAAATGTCCTCCTTATCGCCGCCGTCGTTAAAATCGGCGGCGGAGGGGTCAATTCTGGGGCGCTTGGCGGGGCGGTCGGCGGCTTTGGGTTCGATGAGCTTCAACCTCTTCTTGAGCTCCTTGTAGGACAAGAACTTGTCCCGCCATTCCGGCAGGGTCTCGTCGATCTGGTTGCTCAGGCTCTTACCGAACTTCATCTGACAATATTTTTCTCTTTGGTTAGAGAGAAAAGGATTGGAATTTTCTCGGGAAAATGGGGAAAATGGGAGGGTGGTAGTGGAGGGTAAAGTGAGGGGATATAACGGTAAGGAGGGAATATTCGGAGGGCTAATGTTGGAATATCCTTTAGTTTTCAATGAGTATTATTCCCTTTTCATTTTCTCAGTTCACAGCATGCGAGATAGATGCCTGATTTATTATTTATTTATTTATCATCTGGCTCAAGGAGTGTAGCCGGAGCGAGTGATCCGAGTCCGAGTGTGGGGCCCAGTAGGTGGGAGTTGAGGATTTGGATCCTCTCCAATCTCACAACCCGCAATACACGGATTGAGCAATTCAGATCGTTCAAGGAAGACATAAGGACGTTAAAGAAAGATACTGTGTTTGAGGCGAGCAAGTGAAATGGATTAATGAAAATTACAAATTTAAATTGACTGGTTCGAATTGTTAAATCTTTAGGCTCTGTAATGAGATCTTAAGAGAGTCTCAATTCGGGAGTTGATAGGGCTTCAAACCTTAGGTACCAACAAGGTGGTACTGAAAAATTGCTAGTTAATCGCTAGTTCATATATAACCAACATCTCATAATCTACGGATCAACAAGTATGTTTTCTTAAAAATTAATCACCTTTATTTTGATCTACACCCTACAAAGCTCGTATAAAGCACCATTTTATGTGTCAATTTTGACCTCTTTTTCACCTTCTTAGAGGCAATTCCACAAAATTTAAGATCTTATTCGTGAAATCTTATCAAATTTAAAACAGATTCCCATTTTGTTGAGCATAAATATAGCAAAATGCCATTAATTCAAATTTTGTGATGCAATATCAAGGACCCATCATCTCAACACTCAAGTGGTCTCCAATCATTTATCAAGAAGGTGACATAGCCACGAAGATTTTTCCCTACAAAAGAAGAAAAAAAGAAGTAAGCCGAGTCGATGATTTGTGGAAGACCCGAGAACCCAAGCCAAATATATAAAAGTAAAGAAAATTTTCAATGTGCCATTCAGTAAGATGTTGTTACTAATACACGTATAATAAAAATAA